GTTTTACTTAATTTCTTTTATATTAAATATAAGAAACTTGCAAAACATCTTATATATATATATATTATATATATATATATATATATATATATATATATATATATATATATAATATATATATATATATATATATATATATATAATATATATATATATATATATATATATATATATAGTGTGTATGTGACGATGTTCTGCATATTTTCTATTATTAAAAAAGTAGGTGATAGTGAAATATCGCAAAAATGAAGGACCTGTTCTTCTATACATTTCTTTACCATGGATGGAGCGTAATTGACGTAAAGCGGATCTGCTTAAATCAGCAACAGGTCACCCTAGATTTCTAACCTCTAGTATCTTGATTTAATAATACTGGTTTCAGACTCTGTATAAGTGTATTTATCCATAAGTTATCTTGCTCAGCAGAGGTGTAGTATTATTATTATACTCATGGGGAAGCGCTAAAGCAATAAGGGTCATACAGCTCCTGGGCAAGGGTTGGTAAATGAGATTTGTTGCAAAGAAGAGATGGATATTCTAAATTATGTGGATCATAAGCCCTTTGGAATATGGGCACCGCACTGGAGAGATTCAGTAATGTAAATTTCAGCATCGACTGCTATTCTTCCAACTCAAAACTTTGTGTTTCAGTTTTTCCTATTGAACAAACCCGGGCCAGTAGACCTGCTGTAGCTCTTCGTTCATATTTTTTAATTGCTGTGAGAACTTGTAGCTCATTACTACTGTTGAATATTATCTGTGACATACCTGTTACCACCCTTGTATTCTGGAAGGAGGCCAGACTTCCTTGTTAACTGTGTGGTCAACAGGCTGTTACTGCTAGCTGCCCAGTAAGCTCTGAAGCTATTTACTAAAGCAACGTTAACACTTATGTATCACAGTCATTACGTAGTTGATAAGCTATCGAATAACATTTATTGGTAAATATCTTACTCCAATACAATAATTACACTTTTATGTTACATTATGACAATCGATTATCAATATTAATTGTTATACAGTGAGTGATCGGATCAACAGTATTTTCAGATATTTACTTTATACTCATGAGAAGAGCTAAACCAAATGAGTCGTTGATATTAGTGGAGGCTCGATCCTCCTTCCTCTAAGCGCGAAACAAATACTCTCCCGGAGGAAAACAGTTTTTCTTTTGGTTAATGAGCACGGAGAGAAAAATAACCTATGGATAAACCAAGAATGCCAAGCAGAGTGGCTTATTTCCCTCGGAGATCTTAAGAGGAATCACCAGCAAAGTTTTTTCATGACTCGGACGAAGTCACTGAGGTCAGGGTTGAGGGTCTGAGTCCATGACAAGCCAGTCCTGAAACTAGCAGGACAGTACCTACCGGCCTGCCAGTTTTACGACTGACTTTCTGTGGGTTAGAACTCTCCGTTCAGTGAGTTGTTTACAGTCATATAATTACAGTGAGGCGAATCATCACCTGTCTGTGATGATTCGCTGCTCTCGACTGGGTGGCGCAGGGGTTCAATCCCTGGAAAATGATTCTAGCCTACCTCTTTATGTACATCAGGAAACAGGACAGTGTCTCCTGATACGCATCTTAGTCAGATAACAAGATAACTGAAAAAGCATTTGCTTATCTTCCAGAGCTAGGATTTATACTCCCACTTAACACACAAAGGATCACTACACAATAGATTCCCAAGATAGTTCCAGATACTGGATACACACACACAACTACATCATACATCCTCTTTGTGTTCGTGAACTGCTTTCACTGGCTTCTCCGTGCAGCTACAAGTTATATTACCTGTTTTGGGGTCTTCCTTACTTGGGGTGCTCATCCGACTACCCACCTGGTGCTTTCCTTTAGCCGTATCCTACTTTGTGAAATTAATGTACAATGATATTTAATTGTATGTGTTACAAATATGAATGTATGGTGGAGATGGTGTTTCATTTTCCTTCTTCCCGAAATAAAGACCAAGAAATTAGTTTTGGCTGCCTAATGGGGTTTAAAGCCTATCTATCGACTACACTACTGTCATTAAATATTCACTCAGTCTTTTCACCACCAGACAAGAATACATTAATCCATAAAACAAGAATTAAACTCTCAGCATATATATACTAAGAAAAATACATCATTTGGAATATATATTTTGTATTAGTTTTTCAGGAATACAAATTACAATGAAAATCTGTTTGCTGTATAATTGTAATGTAATGTATCGTAAAAGTTTTCACCTGATAACTATTGTTCTTGAAGTTTTGAACTTTATCTCCCTTAGTAACATTCAAACTCTATAATAAAAATTATTCATGTCTTATCCATTTCACAGTTCAAAATCTGGTAACGTAAATCAGTTCAATTTGAAGCCTATTCCTGCTTTTCCATCAGCCGTACTAAACATACACCCTGCTTCAACAAATGACATAAATATTAAAGCGTTCAGACAGTTATCTAGCCACATTTTTTCCAAATCTGGTTACACTATAAGCTTAAACTTATCAACTACGGAGGGTCATTAGATTGCATCTAATCTGTTTTTTTTTTTTTATGGATTTTTATTACTCGAAGTGCTGTTGATGTGTGAACAAAGTAACATTCATGAAGGGATTCAGAAAAACCGGAAAGCCGGACTTGAGTCCTGGACGTGGGAGTACAGTGCCTGCGGCTTTTGAATTGTAGTGTCGGTACGCCTATGGCAAGACAGGGAAGGAGTGAATGATGATAAGGCGTTTCTTCTTTTTTTAGGTCACCCTGCCTTGGTGACCAACGGCCAGTGTGCTAATGTATATATACATATATATATATATATATATATATATATATATATATATATATATATATGCCCATGATGCTCTGTATCTCCTCACAAGGTGTCTTACTATGACAAGACTCACTTACTTCTTGAGGTGTGCACCCTCTTTTGACAACCCAACACTCGATGAATATGAGGCACACCTGAGATCAACTTTTAAGAAGGCACTGACCCTGTCACTAGAGGATGAGCAATGGGATCAGGCAACCCTCCCAGTGCGACTGGGAGGTATAGGGGTGCGTAAAGCAACGCATGTTGCTTTACCTGCTTTTCTGTCTTCGTGTTTGGCTTCCAGTGCATTAGTCAAGAAGATAGTGCCCGAACGCTTGAGAGACTTGGTAGGAACTCAAGACCCCAGGTTTACTGAAGCAGCGATTCGGTGGGACACCCTTACAGACTCATCCAGTAGACCAGCTCCTCCCAAACAGCACAAACAGTCCCACTGGGACAAACCGATCATGGAAAAAATCGCCAACACAATGCTCTCCAATGCTTCAGGAAAGAACAAAACTCGTCTCCTGGCAGTGAAGGCACAACACTCAGGAGATTTCCTGTTAGCTGTTCCCAATTCCTCCCTGGGCACCCGTCTCGACCCACAGGCCATTCGGATTGGTGTTGCTCTTCGCCTAGCCGCCCCCATCCTCACAGAACATAGGAGTATTTGCGGCAGGGCGACAGCTGATCAATTCGGACTTCATGGTCTCGTGTGCCACACAGCAGAAGGGAAGTATGCCAGACATGAGGAGATCAATGACATAATAAAAAGAAGCCTCGCCACATCCCGTTGCCCAGCTCAACGGGAACCCCAAGTACAGAGGTCTGATGGAAGTCAAAAGCGTCCTGATGGAGCCAATATGCTACCCTGGAAGGATGGTAAGCAGATTGCCTGGGACTACACCTGTGCTGCCACATTGGCAGACACCTACTTGCCATACTCCGTAGTGGAAGGGGGTGGAGCTGCCAGCCACAGGGAGACCCAGAAGATCCGAAAATATGAAGACCTTGCCCCTTGCTATAACTTCATTCCAATAGGGTCGGAGACCCTTGGAGCATGGGGCAAGTGTGCTCTAAAGTTCCTCAAAGAGCTGGGTGAAAAGCTCATCATAGAAACCAAGGACCACAGGGCGACCAGCTTCCTCTTTCAGAGACTCAGTGTTGCGATCCAGAGAGGAAATGCCTGCAGCATTCTGGACACGCGGCCCACCGCAGGGGAGCTGGACGAAGTATTCGAGATGTAGCTCTGAGTTACCTATGTTGTTTTACTTTCTGTTGTATTTTTGTGAATGTTTGGCCAATGTATTTTGTCTTTAGATATATATATATATATATATATATATATAAATATATATATATAAATATATATATATATATATATATATATTATATATATATAATATATATATATATAAAATATTATATATATTAAAATATAATATATATATATTTTATAATATATATATATATATATATATATATATATGCAAGGAATTCGCAAGAACAGGCGAAATGTACACAAACACTGATCTCTGGCTGAAAGGAGACTCAAGTCTCCTACAGCCAGAGATCAGTGTTTGTGTAATTT